AGGCAGTAGAGCTCCCAGCAGGCATTGCCAATCTGGACACCAGCCTGGCCGACATGGATGGAGATGCACTCACGCTGTGGAGAGAAAGGAAAGATTACAGTGATTTCAAGCATGATAGATTTCAATTGTAAATTCGTTTACATTTAAACCAAAGCTACGCATGGCTCTGCTGTCTTGACTGGAGTTTTGGGATAAGAAAGGAATGTAAGTTTACTTCTTATGAAATACATAGTCTTCCTGCCCTCCTAAAACAGAAATTGAACCCTGAGAGCTTATAATATAAAGCTGGTCTTCCTCTTTCTTTAACCAAATCTGTTGAACCAATTCAATTAATCAGGCCATAATGTGCAATTATATCAGCAGAATAATAATTTGGGCATATGAAGCAGTGTACACTGAGCACAAAATTTGAATAATTGTTTTCAAACTAGTTAATTTTCAAATATGTCTAGTTCTTGTAGAGGTTGCTTTATTTAGACAAATCAAGACTGGTTCTTTTAAATCCTTAAAAGATCTGTATTCTCCTGTGTCATTGGGGGACCTACTGCTCAGGTACACATTTATGAGCCAGTGGTCCCTGCTGCTGTACCTCAAATTGTACAAGTACAGTACTTTTGGATACAGGACTGTATGTTGTGTGGTGGCTTCACACTGTTACAATAATTCAGTACAGGCCTTCTTTTTTCCTATTCCAATGAAAAAGAAGGACCATTATCATGGTCAGACTCCCAGTATCCATGTCGTCTAGAAAGACTGCTGCTCCAGAAACTAGCTCACCTTCTTTTGCGTGACGTATTTCTGTTCAGCAGCTCTATGCCTTGACAGACGGTTTCACTCATCGTGTTGTCGTGTATTCTCTTTACGTACCACGCCATCGTTTTAGCGGTTCCACTGCATACTTAAACTAAGCATGCTGCCCTTTTGGCTAAAAAGCCTTTGAATCAAAGACGAAGTTCGCCGACTTCATTTGAACCCCTTAATGCAAAAACTACTTTTCATCGATTTGAATCGAACGGTTTCATCCTACATATCAAATATTTCACTTCCATTTTGAGGAGAGACATGTTATTAGCAACATTGAAGCTTTCAACTTGTGTAGGGCAGGTGCAGTGAACAAATGTACATAATTTATCTAGTTAATTCATATAGTGTTAAATTAAGACAAGACGTGGTCACTACATTTAGGTGTATTCCCATTCCCAGAGTTACTATTACACTTTATAACATAACCTTTTAAAACCTATAACGCGGATGCGGTTGCAGTTATTACAGTGTAAAGGTCAGATAAGACTGTAGTCCCGCCTGTCAGGGCGCGAAGTGACGTCACTTTGAGCGTTTAAAACAGCCAATGGCAAAGCGCCCGTGGGTCTCTCGTGCCGCTCGGATCCCTGCGCGGTGTTGGGGAACCGGGCCAACGGGCTGTGCGGTGAGCGATCGTGTGCGGCACAAGGAAGAGAGCTGCGCGTACCACACACTCGGGCGCCCTTCATCTACCGCGCAAAAGCAGAGTCCGTTTCCCTCTGTACGGTTGGAATTTCACATTTCTGCAGACGTGGGACAAAGTCAAACGTAAAGCCCCACTCAGACGTTATAAGACCGCAGCCTCAGTACAGATGTGCAATTTAGAAAACACCACCCCCTACATTTTGCTACATCGGTACCCTGAAACCCATTACAAAGAGCGCCTTCTGTGTGTGCAATTTTCACCATCGCCCTGGGCAGCTCCATCAGCGCCATAAAAATGAATCAAGGATGAAAACGTGTACAGTTCCTGAAGCAATCAGTCGTCTGCATGAGAAAAGGAATACAGCGCGATGAGATATTATCTAAGGAAAAGGTATCGGAAGGAGACTTGATGTTACTTACCATGATGTCGTCTTTACCGGGGGAGAAAGCGTGGAGAAAATGGGAAAAGAAAGAATTCACGCCACTCGCTGTGACAATTAAGAGTCAGTGCAAGTAAGTAGCGCAGAGCGCCTGGCGTCCTGCGAATTTATAGGTAGTTCTGAATATATTAATATATTATTATAATAAAGAGGCGTCGGACCCAATCGCGGCAAAGAGACTCCGGAATGCTTCCTTTCGGCTGGCTTGGGCGGGACCACAAGCCGCTTTGATGAATAAATTACCTCGGGTTGGGGGGAGAACTGTATGATGCAATCTAGCAGTGGGGGGGGGGGGGTATTTCTAAATAACAGATTACAAGTGCTTGTTTTAATGTGAAGATCGAAACTGGGGATGGGTCGGTCGCTGCGAACACTTTGTCATGTGGTTATATTCCTTTTTCCTGACGTTACAATAAAGAGATGTCCTGTGGATGGCTGCGGTGTCTCTGAACAATAGGTTACACAAAGCGTGGAGGAGGCCTGGGTGGGAACCGGGCATCTTCAAATAGCGGTGAGCAAGAATGAAAAACACGGGACCGTTTTCAGGGGTTTATTTCACCTAGGTTGCTTGTGCGTGTAGGATTTTATCACACACCGCTGAGAAGATGCGCATCTTGTTTTCGTGAGACGCCCCCTCCTCACCCTTACTGCAGGAGGAAAAATCCGCAGTGGTCTGCGAAGCAGGGCGTGGCCGTGCCGCAGTCACGGGGTGCCCCCTGGGGAATTGCGGGCTGCGAGTTCCCTTCCTTATTTTTAGATGGGGAACGAACTCGTATCTATTAAAATTACATTAAGGTATTTCTGAATCATTTTCTAGATATCTCATGCGTTCCAGACGAAGAGAAGGATCCCCAAATACCAGGTCCTGCTGTTGGTGTGCACTCTGTGTTTGCTGGGTATTGCCCAGCAAGGAGTTGTTCATTTTATTTTCCAAATAATAACTAATAATTACAATTGTCGTTTTATGAATCTTTGTGACCTGTAGTCTGTAGGTTGCTCTTTCTTCACAATAGGTGATGGCTTAAAAACAGCACCTCATATACACATGCTACAAATTAATGAGCCTTTAAAAAAAGGAAACAACATAGCCAGTCACGAAATTCTACAACAACCTTCTTCACCTTTATACACTGAAGAATTGTGAATCTTAAGCCCCTCTGCAGGCTTGTTTGTTACTTACTTCAGCTAATGGCAGCTGAGGCTGTGTAGCAACTAATTTAGATTAGATAAGGGCATTTGCTGAGCATGTAAAAAAATTAGCTTGCAGGGCACCTGAAAGAGAACAGTAAAGTTACTGCATCCATAAGACTGGATGTTCAAAGAGAATATTGATCATGGACAGGATACTGTTAAACTGCATTACTTTTGATGATCCTAATGGCAACATGAAATTCATAACATGATTACTGCAGTGTTGTGATGAAGGGAATACAGTTTATTTATATCCAACTAGATGCAAAAATACACATTTATCCATTGCTTTTTGATGGATGGCAGTCTATCGTTAATTAAGTGCACAGCTGAAGGAGAAGATCCTCTGTCACAATCCTCTGTGAAGACAAACTGCAGATTGTGGCTCATCTGTTCGCTGTCATGGTGCCGCAGCCTTGAGGAGGAATGGGATGCCGACATCGCGGCTCGTGTGCAGCTGCTGAGCCCGTTGTCAGCAAGCACTGAAATAGTGAGACAGCTGGGAAACACACAGAAAGCACTGAAACACAGAAACCCCACTGGGGCATCTGCAGTCACCCACACGGCAATTCCACCTCACTCAGTCCCTGCTCTTCAGAAAGGAGCACTTAAAGGTGGCAGCAAGGACGTAGGGACGCATGGCTTTCTGTGCCATGGCTTTCTGTGCATGTACATCCTGTTTACTCTGTCAAAATACAAACAGTCCTGTCAAGTTTGGGAGCTAAAATAATGCTTGATGCTTTGATAAAACCGCTGGCAAGAAGCGTCATGGCGCAGTGCATAATCTACTGCAGTGGCTCTGTGGCTAAGGAGCTGCGCCTGTGGCTGGAAGGTTGCCGGTTCCTATCCTGCCGCTGGCAGAGGAATCCTACTCCGTTGGGCCCCTGAACAAGGCCCTTAACCCCAACTGCTCCAGGGGCGCTGTATAAATGGCTGACCCTGCGTTCTGACCCCAAGCTTCTCTCCCTGTCTGTGTCTCTCATGGAGAGGGGTATGTGAAAAGCCAAATTCCTAATACAAGAAATTGTATATGGCCAATAAAGTGATCTTTTTTGGATGTCCAACAAAAGGCAGCAAAATTTCCAAAACAATCTTTAAGTGCAAAAAGCCCTTCTTCACCTAATTCGTCCTTTGATAGGTTTGCAGGTTTTTTTTTAAATGTTGAGTTACCTTTCAAGAACAAATGCAAGCAAGTTTACTTTAGTTCTCTAGCCAAAAGTGTTGAAAATCGCAAGGAGTTGGCAGGCCTTGATGGTTTCAGTGGGCTGTTCTTTTAAATTCAGGTTCCACAACCTTTCTCCTCAGTTTTCTTCAATATAACATTTATTTTTATAAGGCATCGTTTCATACAGATACATTATTTCAGACGATGCACACGTTTTTAAAAAAAGAAACCACAAACTGGTCATTACTTCAAAGCGCTTTCAGAAAAACTAAAATGAAATTATTTAATGAAGGCCAAGAAGATCAAACCTGCTTTAAAGGTCTTTTGATGGAAGTCGGGATTCTGGGAGGATTATGGGGATTTGCAGTTTGGTTCATAGCTTGCCAAGATGTGTCCATATGCCTGATTTTTCTGTTGTTGTGTGTGCTTGTGAAGCACTGTACCAGAGAACGGCCTGCCTTCTCTTTTTAGAATAAGCTGCTATTTAATGCAAATCTTTCCTGCAGTTTGCACACACTGACCCTCAATTTCCTCTAGCTTTGCCTCAGAGACTAGCACGGCATCCCATTTAAAAAGACACATTAACAGCTGCTGTGGAGAAGGTGACTTATAGACTCAATTCTCTCAATTTGATTGGCCTGTTGTTTATTTCACAATATACGGTGATCATTTTTGAAAGAGTTTAGATTTAATAAACGTGGATTTATATTCAGTGCTTCTAAAGGTGAGCAGTTCTTCTCCTTCTCCTTGAACTCTTGGACTTGGAGCTCACCTCACTAGCAAAAATTGATTTTTCATTGGCAATAAACCATAAAGCACCTGAATTGTAAATTTAGCATTAATGTATTAAATAGATTTTTGACAACAACAATGATCCTTACACTTACATAGCCCTTTTGTGGACACTCCACAAGACAGAAACCTACCAGATGTATCTAAACTCTGAACAACATTCAAGTTATTTCAGTGACTGTCCGGGAAGGCGCTTTGGATTGTAGACATCCAAAACCACATGGCAGATAAGGACTGAGCCTCTCAGCTGCTGGGCAAATACACTCATCTTTGATAAAGAAATCAACTGGGTGGTGTCAGGGGAACCTCTGGCTCAAACCTGAACTTCTTGGGTTTTTTTAAAAAGAAACATGAGATGATGATCATGGAAACAATTCAATAACATATATTCACTTCAGCTGATTTCTGTACACTTCAAAATGTATACTTGGCATTTGAATTGGCATTAATTTGCTTGTACTTTGTTTTATCCACAAATCACACGGTTAACAGACATGGCACTGGTAATGACAGCTAGCCTCCAGAGGGAGCAAATGAACACAAAGGTGCATCTAACCTCTTTACAGCTGTTGTAAAGAGAAACACCAGGTGCATGCGCTAGCAGCATGTCAATGGCTGTGTCGATTTACATATAGAAGCATTAATGATAGTAGACGCAAACCAGCTTAATACTTTTAAACTAGAGTCTGAAAAGTAACAGGTAAAATATTTTATTTTAAAAAATCCTGAAAGGAAAAGAAAAGAGAGACATCCGAAACAATCTCTTTTCCTTTCAGCATGGAATAAACCTTTACCTGTTCCTTTTGCACCCTACACATGCTGACACCGCTACGTATTTGAACTTCATAAAAGACTGAAGCTTAGAAATAACAATTTTGGTAACTTTTAACACTTGTTTGTATGAACTTGTAGAGTTTGTATTCGAGCTTCATTAAAAAAATGCACTTGTGTTCAACTTATAGTTTGCAGGGAGACATGATGCTTTATGGATTAGGCAGGGGGCGCTGTGGTACAGAAGGCACATTGTGAGCAGAATGCTGGCCATGTGCTCCATCCAGTATTAGACACCCCAGCTTTGCTCACGGTTGTGCTCAAGCTGGTTTCAGAAAGAATAGTCATCGCTAGGTTTACTTTTCCCATGCATACCTATTTGTTGCTTTAAATGAACAAATAGCCAATTCTACTGCAAAAAACTTCTGATTTTATAAAAGGTGTTGAACAGGCATACGCATCATTTAACAAATTGACTTGAGTGCACATTGCTACAGGAACTGCAATCAAGTTTAAATAAACTAACTTGACTCTTTAGAAATACTGCATGGAAGATGCTATTTGTTTTCCAAACAATAACATGGAAAATGTTTCTTTGTGTGATTTGTTTTTAAACCATCATAAAGACAAAGGACACACTAAAGCAGGGATTACACTTTTATTCACACCAACCAAGCAGTCGAGACTCATGTCAATTTTTATGTCGCAAAAGATCAGAAATAGATGCAGACATAATAGGTCAGAAAACTACCCTGCTACAGAGTGACTTATAAAAAAGAAATCTGAGGTGGTTTTAAAGGTGTTGTTCCCTTGCAGCAGATGCTGCTTTTTTTCTCCCCCTTTTCAGTACTCCTCTCCTTCCTCCTCCCCCTCTCCCTCAATGGAGTCAACGCCCACCTCTTCATAATCCTTCTCCAGGGCTGCCATGTCCTCTCTGGCCTCAGAGAACTCGCCCTCCTCCATGCCCTCACCCACGTACCAGTGCACGAAGGCACGCTTGGCGTACATCAGGTCAAAC